TGAACTTAGCAAGAAAGAATATTTGTGTAATAATTATTAACCCCATATTTGCTAAACATTAAAAACTAATGTAAGGTGCAGTCAGATGCTATAAATAGGGGGAAACACAGTGAACACTATACTACCAATCTCCATAAAGTGACATACTGATAATTGGCCTTGGATTCAGATATTTGGGTGAGTACTTGTATTTTAGCCTTACCAGTTTTATTTATCTGAAATGAACAATTAGCCATACCTATTGTAACAGTCATTTTGTAGAGTTCCCAATTGGATAGGTAAAGGGTTTTTTTTGAGTTACTGACTTTTGGCTAGCCACCTGACACTATTTCAAAATCCAAAATGTCAACTTAAAAGCAATTGAATGGATTGGAGAAAGCTTTTATTGGGACTAAACTGACAATTATTATCAAAATAAAAAAAGTTCAAAAATAAATTTGTACAATATGCAAGAACTTTGGTATAGAAACTTGGGAGTATCCTATATTACCCAATCATTGGCTTCAGATTTAATGTTAGATGTTTCTAGTGTCCTAAAAATTCATTTAGTTCAGCAAAACGTTTTGATAGGGGCCAATTAGACCCCTCAAACAGTGCTTTAAAAACATTGCCCTTCTATGCCAGAGATGTAATAAATTTGAAGAAACTTTGATACATATGAAATGGACATGTCCACTTATAATTCCTTCTCAGTTATATATTAAGAATGGTGAACCACATTCTTGGATGGATGTTTTGTTAAACTTGGATGTGTTTTGTTAAACAAATGTCTCCAAAATCTGGAATCTTTCAATCTTCGAGGAACTTTGGCTGTGTTGTTGTTGAACTTGCTGCTAAAAAGTTAATGATGTAGTTATAGAAGAATACTTGTGCCCCAGACATTAAAAATTGATTTAATAAAATATTTCAATTGTCAGTCTTCGAATTAGCTTTGTACAGAAGGAGAGGCAAAAATGGACAATATCATTCTCTGTGATCTAGGTTTACTTCATTGCTTAAAAATTAAATGTTGAAATTGAAGGAAGTTATATAATTTGAGTAGCTTGATGTATATGTATATATTCTTTAAATGGGCTTTTAAAATATATGTATTTAGTAGAACTTAAGTGTGGGGTTTTTTTAAGTTTTGTTCATGTTTTAATTTTTTCCTAAGATTTTTCTTTTTTTGTCTCCCCTTCCCCCCCAGGTAGCTTGATATAGTTTTTCCCCCTCATATAGTTTTTTAAATAATAGGTTTCTTTTTAAAAGTGTATAATCTTTTATACAATAGCAGTATAGTTATATTGTTAATTAGTTTATATATATTACACATTAATACATATATTAATAACTAATGCTTTTTAAAAAATATTAAATATGAAGTTTGTAAATAAAAAATAAAAAACTCAAAAGCTTGGAGATCCATACACTTTCTTGGAAAAGCAGTTAAATTTGGATATCTTAAGGCAGACATACCAAGGATTACATCACTAAATGTAATTTAAGCCTTCCCATATAAATTCAACTCTTATATCTGATTAAGTTGAATTCCTAGATGAATGTTTGTTGCATATTTAGCTTCCCTTAAACCCCAAAATTCAAGTCCACCTGATTTGAAAAGAAGTACAAGTAACATGTTATGTCATAAATTACTTTATTAAAAAAAATTCTAAACGTTCTTATGTTCTGGATACAAATGTTTGAATATAGTAATTACATTTTTCATTCCCAGAATCTGTTGATTCTCCTCTAATACTGTTTGGTCAGCTTATACAAGAGAGCCACAAATAAGTACTGGTTTTGAAATTTTAAACTGCATGCAAACCCAAAGAGCATTGTTTGTAATAAAATGTTCTTGTCATGTGTGCAGATATTAAATACATCTTGTCGCCTTTCAAGAGCTGAAGTGTTTTTGAAAGTGAAATTGAAGATTATACAATAAATATTGTTCTTATATGGAATTTGGTATAAGGGTATTTAGATCAAAGCTGAATACTTCAATTCTTTTATTAAAATGTTGTATAATTCCACTGATGAATTGCAGATCGTGATATGGGAGCACGTCATAGAGCCCGTGCTCATTCTATTCAGATCATGAAGGTTGAAGAGATTGCTGCCAGCAAATGCCGCAGACCTGCTGTCAAACAGTTCCATGTAAGTAGAGCAAATTTAAATATATGTTTATATGTATTAAAATAAGCTTTTTTGTTTATTTTTTCTCAAGCTGTGTAATTTGGAAATTCTTCTCTGAGCCCTGTAACTTTCTATGAAACTGTTTATAATTCTGGTCAGTGACTGTAAGAAGATATTGAATACATATATATTGAGAATCCTCCTTTAGTTTGGAGTCACAGACATATTCTATTCAGGGAGTTACAAAACAATTGGGTTACTATGTCTTAGCCCAACCTGCCCCTGTAGGTTTGTTGGGAAAAAGCTGAAGAATGCTATGTGCACCAATTTGAATTCCTAGAGGAAAAGTGAGATATAAACCTAACAAATACTTACATATATTCAATACTAAAAAAAATGTTTACATGCCTTACAATTCTAAAACTTAGTATTTCATTTTTTTAAAACAGCAAAATAATTTTCCAAAATGATCCTATTTCTTATCATTAAGCAAGTGTTATACTTGCTTAAAACAGTAAAAACATAGTCACTTGCCTTGTTCTTTTAAAGAGCTCATTTGATAATTATTGGGTTCTCTAAGGAGTCCATCCTGTATTTTGCATAGATTAAATAATTTTCTGTACTTACATTAAAAATCTTAAAATATATATGCTAATGCAGTAGAAAGTATCTGTTCTTAACTTTCTGAATAGTACCCAAACTACTGAAATTTTATCTGGGATTCTAATGAAATTTAACCTCTTTCCACAGGATTCTAAAATTAAGTTCCCTCTGCCACACAGAGTACTGCGCCGTCAGCATAAGCCACGCTTCACTACCAAGAGACCAAATACATTCTTCTAAATGTAGGCTTGATTGATATGTTCCATATATCAATAAAGTTTTTTTGAACGCTTGATTGTGTGTTCTAAAGCATATTTGTTTTATTCCATTTATATGGCTCCCCATCTCATCAGAGTGACTCTGAATTGCTAAGAGTAGTTAAAACCAACAGTGAACACATAACTACCAGCCAAGATAAATAAACATCAACACAACCACTTTACAGGCTCTAACTGACTCTCCCATTCTTCAGGGCCTTGCAAAGGCCAGTAGGGTCAGGCCAATCTGGTCTTCAAGGGATGATGTTCCACAGAGCAGGTGCCACAACACAAAAGGCTCTCTTCCTGGGTCCTACCAGATGGCACTCTAACTGACAACATTCATAGCATGCTGCTTCTGCCAGATCTGATGGGGCAGGTGGACACAATGAGGTAAAGGCTTTGCAAATAAAATGCTACATCAAAAATTCAATCTGATACATCACCTCAGAATCTGATGTGTTCTGTTCCCACCTCTACTGAACTGTAATTGTATAGAAGACCAAGGTGCTAAGAATTTTAGATCTTGTACAAAGGCTCCTGAGGAATGTTTTTTACAATCAACCACTTTCCTTCCTCTGCAATTTCAACTTCCTTTTTATAAAAAGCAAAAATACATTTTTATCTGGCAGTATCTTTGTTTATCCTAGATAAACAAAGATGTAGAGAACTTAATAGCAATGTTCAGTTGAAAAATACATTTTTCTCAAAAGGGAAAAAACAAGGTACTACCTCCATTATTAGAATTCTGGAAGAATGCATCTTGAAATCATACAAATCATCCAAAGTCTTGGAAGGTACATCAGAGATCAAGTAACACACCTTCAGTGGAAAAATCCACTATTACAGTCTTGCAATTCTTTGTATTCTGAAAACAGACCTTTACACATCAGGTAAAGCCTGGATAGAAACTTTCTTGATGTCACTTTTCTGTCAGGCAGTTTTATTTCAGTCCTGCTTCTTCTAGAAATGGGTCCTTCAGCTTTTATGCCCTGAGAACGTCTAGAATACACGGACATTGTGTGTCGTCGTGTATCCAACCTATAAGTTGAGGGAAAAGAGCCATTAGTCTTATCCAAACGTGAGCCTCTTCCCTTTCATCTAGGGTTGCCAGACCCCCCACAATGCCCTCCCTCTGGCAGGCGTAGCCTTAAACGTTGCCGGGCTTTTTGAGTAACAAGCTTTCTCTTGCTGAGCAGCTTTTCTCAGCTTCCCTAGCAAGTGCTAACCCCAAGTTAACAAGCTCAGCTCTGGGACCTTAATTAGTTGATTAGTACCGTTTGGCAGGCTTTTGCTGCTGTCTGAAATTGACAAGACCTTAATCAGTTTTGCGTTCTAATCGGCTCTAGCACCTTGCGATTAAAAAAGTCTTTCTGACGCTGGAAAAAGTAATTTCATATACTGTATATGTAATAGGCCTAAGTACTTTTTTTTTTTTGGCCATTTTTCACTATTTTCTGTCAGGGATGCCAAGTAAACAATTAGTGTGTCCTCCCCCACCCCATTTGACATCCTTTCCAATTGCCTGTGTCCTCTGCCTGTCCAGATGTCTGGTGACCCTCATTGTATCAGGCTGCACAATCCTTATCACCCAAATTGTCTGTGATGGAACGCCTCCGGAAAGCACTAATTTGGGGAGTTCTTTGCACACTTTCTGAGACCCCACTTTCTATTCAATGGAGCTTTGTCAGACAAAATGGAAAAGAACTGCAAATATAATTCGCTCTTTTTTTCCCCATGCTTTTCACTCCCCCTTGGGTTTATTGCCAGTTGGATCGATTCCTTGATGAAATCGGCATCCAAAATAAATGCTGTACATATATTTATAATACATATAAACCTTCGCTCTTCCCTCAGCTATGCCATATTAACTGAAGTCCATCCACGGCAACGGCCAATAACTGAATCGATCAATTACTTCGATGGCTACCCCGTTGCCACGCCCTTCCCGTCCCTGATAGGTCACGTGGGGCTAAGCCTTTCAAAACCGCCTCTCCGGAATGGCTCCTGAAGGGGAAGGGGTGGAGCTTGCGCATGTTGTGGGCTTACCCCCCGCTCACGTGATTGTCGTTCCTCTGGGTCTGGGTCTGGGTCTCTCGCTGGGCGCCAAGGCTGGCGAGCGGAGGCGGCCGCGACCGTCGCGGCGGGCGGGGAATGGGGGAGCCGATGCCCGTGGGAGCGCCAGTGCCGGTAGAGCAGGCAGTGCTGGAGACGTTTTTCTCTCATTTAGGCATCTTCTCCTACGACAAGGCCAAGGACAATGTGGAGAAGGAGCGCGAAGCCAACAAGAACGCCGGGAGCAGCTGGCTTTCGCTCCTGGCGGGGCTGGCCCATCTGGCGGCGGCTGAAAAAGCCTACCATAGCATGACCTTCCTGGGCCAGAAGCTAGGTACCCAAACCTCCGGCTGCTGCTGCTGGGCGTTGCAGTCCGCCTTCCCCCTCCCCTCCCCTCCCCTCCCCATTTTGCTTCGGGGGCGCTTCCCTGGGAAGGAGTCCTGAGTCACGGGCATGTCATCCCTTGCAGGGCTAAAGGAAGACGGCGTAGGGCCGGGGAAGTTGGTTAAGCCTGGGGAAGAAGCCTTTTCTTCATCTGCGAAGCATCTGCTGAACCCCGTTCAAGGCTCGCCAACAGCCAGTGCTTGAATCCCGACTTTTCTTACAGAGCCGGTTCAGATTTCCAAATCCGTGTATTTCTGAACACGTGTCTGAAGCATCATTTCTCCTTTAGAATGACTTTTGCACACCTCGCTATCTCTTTTCACGCTCTTCTGCCTCTATAGTGAATACATTTGGGGTTGAGATCTTATAAGATATACCTCACTGTCTTTGGTACTTTTGCTTACGGTGTGGATGTGCTGACAGAATGTACAGATTACACAGAATAGTTAGAGTTGGCTTGAACACAGAACAGAACAGTATTTTTTTTCCTTACTTTTCTGGTTAACCACGTGGCTTCCATGTAGAATGAGATGTGCTGCCCATTTTCACACAGTCCTAAAAGCCCTTTTCTTTTACAGAATCTCATGGGATGCCCCAAACAGTTCTAGAGAAAGCTAGTAGGCAACATTTTGGACAGTGAATTTAAATTTTGTCAAATTTAAGTTTAGCTGAGCAAAAATGATAACTAAAAGTTTCTTTGGAATGAGAGTGTAGCAAATACTACATGCGATGAATGTAGTAAGAATGCAGTGCAAATTTTATTCATATTTTTAAGGCTAAGTAGCACTTGAAGTCTAGATGTGTTAATATTATCAATAGGCTTTGTTCTGGAAATGCTTATATATTATATTGCTTTATGTATATGGCATGGATGATCATTACCATTATCAAAATTTCTAGTATTGCCTAACATGCACTAAGGATTGCCCAAGAATAGTAGAACAGAAATCCTGGGTTAGAGACACGTAATTAAAAAAAAAGGGTAGGGATCAAAGGGAGAAAGGAAGTTGGAGGGAGAGATTAAAACTATGTAGCAGTTAGAAGAGAGATTATTAAAAGAAAAAAAAGTTAATAAATAGCTTGGTAATAAGAAAATAACTGGCACATTCTGAGGGAAGTAATAAAAATGTCTTAGTATTTAAAGTAAGGTAAAGCAAGAAAGCAACAAAAGAAGTATACTTCTAGTTTAAAATTTGGTTCTAAACCTGCAGCTACATAGAGTTCTACTTTCATGGAATGATTATTTAATTCTTTGTGGTTCCTATTAATCTTGTCAGATGTACTATGTCTGCTGGGGAAAATGTTTTTTTTCTTCCCTTTAAAAAAATAGAACGTGCTTGTTTGCTTTTATGGGTTTATATGCAGGTCTTCTGATACATATGGCTATGATCTTGACTGTACAGATCACATTGCAATACAGCTTTATAAAGTTTCTTTCATCTTCTGCTTGATCAAAAAGCTGAACCATCTAGAGCTTTTAGCAGAAATGTGAAGTATTAACATGTAACAATGGCTATTTATATTAATTTCCCAGGAAAGATGTTGTTTTTAGTTACAATTAATCTTACAAGCAGATTTCTAAATATCATTGGAAACAAAGGCTGGATTTTGGGAGATCAATTATCTTTTGATTAATAGATAAATCATATTGATAAATCAATATAAGTTCCTATTTATGAATAGCTATTAAGGAATAATGAAAACAGCCATTAAAGTGTGCTCTTGAATGTGTAATTGATAATAAACCAAAGGAAATTTGCATGAATATTACATTATTCTTTGTAATTCCATCCCTATCTTTGAGTAATACCCTGTTCTTTAACAACAAATTATAGGTGGGCAGTCATTCTTCAGCCGGAAGGATTCTATACGAACAATATATACATCTCTGCATAATGAACTGAAGAAAGTGGTAGCAACAGGTCGGAATGCAGTGGGAGGAACAGCTCCTCACCTAGAAGAACTACTTTCTCACCTTTCTGAACAGCTATGTTTCTTTGTCCAGGCTCGGATGGAAATTGCTGACTTCTATGAAAAAATGTATAGCCTCAGTACCCAAAAGTATATAAACTCTGAGGAACTGATAAATGTCTTGGAATCCATCCTCAAAAGATACAGCTCAAGGTTAGTGCATGTACATTGTATGCTGTGGCTATCTTTGGATGTCTGGGAATCTGTAAGATCCTTGTCAGTGAGGTAAAAGTGGTAACAATACTCTCATGTTGAGCTCTTGGTGACTGTATACACATTATTATTTTGGCAACAGTAAGGAAGTGGCTTACTATGCTTCCAGGATGTTTTTAAGATTTCCCAGACTAGCCAATAATGCTAAAATTCCCCAATTATCTACTATCTAAGCTCTAATTAGGACCCACCATACTTAACTTTAGAGATCGGCCACTGGACAAAATGAAAGCATGTTTTAAATTCCAGAAATTAAGAGAATATTTAGTTCCCACTGTTGCAGAATATGTAACATGTTCATAATATCAACAGAGTCTAGGCAATTAGTTTTTTAATATTCAATTATATATATTAGAATATTGTTGTAATTTTATAGCAAATATATCAGTTTTCATATTTACATTTTTAACCAGAAAATCAGTAAATGTGTACCCAGTTGTTTGGATGCAAGACATAATCAGACTTATGATCGGCACAAAACTGAAATGCGTATACTATAATATAAATGTAGGCCAAAATGTGGTTTTTCTAGGCAAAAGTGTTTTCGAGGAATGGGGAGGAAGAAAAAGTGATGTCATGTAATTTAATTACATAGCTGATGCTGACCTTAGGTCTTCTCTCTTAGGTGACTGGAGTGAATTCTGTTCTTAAAACTTAAGAGTTCTGTAGATACACACATGAATGAGATGGGATGATAATGAGTGTTGGATGTGGTCTTTTGAGTTGATGTAAATTCAGTAAGTGGAATAAGAATGATCATTCAGCATACTTGATGCGTGATTGTTGTAATAAGTATAGAACTGCCTAGTAAATATTTAAATTTTGTTAGAAATAGTGAAAAAAGTATGGTATTACAATGTTCATTAATTGATTGCTTAGAAATAATATCAAGGAGTAATGGCATTCTGCTTCATACTATAAAAGATGTACTATAAATAATAAATATTGATAATAAATATATAATATATTATAAATAAAATAATAGATTGTTGAGATCATGTCTTCTATATACTAAATTGTTTTCCTTTTTCTAGATTTCATCATCCAATCCTTAGTCCTCTGGAGGGTAGTTTCCAGTTAGAAACTGATGTGCTTATGCATCTTCTGAAGGCTCAGGCACAGATCTCTGAGTGGAAGTTCCTCCCATCCTTGGTCCACTTGCACAATGCTCATACAA